GGTATATATTTGTTTTTGTCAGTTAGCTTTCATTGCTTAACAAACCATGCCAACATTTAGCATTTTAAAACACAATATTTTATTTACCTCAAAAATTTCTTGGTCAATCATTTGGGCTGTTTTCAGCTAGGTGGTTCTGCAGATATGGGCTAGATTCAGTTAATCTTTGCTGTGACCTACCCATGTCAGTGATTGGCTGTTGGGTTAGCTGGTGGCTGGTTAGCGGTCTGGTGGCTGAGTAGTTGTCTGCTGAGATGTAGTCTTATATCTTCCAGTAAACTAGCCTGAGCTCGTTCATATTATGGCAATGTTCTGCCCTCAACAAGCCAGTAAGTCTCAATGCACAAGTGTTTTTCAAGATACTGCTTCTTGTATTACATTTGATAATATTGTATGGGCCAAAACAAGTCATTTGGCTATCCAGATTAAAAGGTGTAACGAAAGACTTTGTGTTTATGATGGAATGAATGGAAAAGAACAGAGAATTGTGGGTACTTTTACTATTCACCACAATGATATTTATTATCATGGTTTTTAAAAGTTTGAGAGAATTTCTGTTTTATAGCTATGTTAGGATCAGGGAGCTAGGAAAAAATTAAAAAGGATAAGTACACAGGATATGAGGAATAACTGATGAAATGAGATTTCTAAGGGGGCAAGAGCTACTGTGATTCAGAGTACGCAAGGAGAATTCACCTTTTAAAAAGCGAAAGGTTTTTCATTCATCTTTCCTTAGAATGAAGGAAAGGGAATGAAGATGATACGATCAAAATTCGCTTTCCTGGTAATCTCAATTTTCCTTGGAGTAAAGAAATCTAGGCCATCTGTTGAGCATAATGGGAGAAACAGTAGGTTAAGGGTTTGTGGAGAACGTTAAGTTTTTGGAAAACTGTTCATCAGAACAGTAGAGGAAGCCAAGGTCCAAACAATAACAACAAAAAAGAAAACACAAATCAACCAACCAAAAAATGGAGAGGTGCAGGGCTGGGATGAGACTACAGACATCGAACCCGTGCTTTAACCAATCTACAGTGACTCACCCAGCCCATATGTGAATTGAGAAAGCCTCCCCTTCTGCAGGGAAATTCAGTACAGGGGAAACCAGACCCACTCGGCTGGGGCTGCTGCCCTTGTACGGATGCAGTTTGAAAAACAGGTGCCATGGTCCTGCCAATTAACAACTGGTATCAATTTTCTTTTTCTTATAGCAACTTCTAGTAGACTAGGTCTAGAAACATAATGGCAGTTGCTGGGATTGGTCTAAGAATAAAGGTTTGCCAAGTTGATTGGCAAGAGAGGATTGGCAAGAAACCACAATAGCTAGAATGCTGGCAATGCTGAGAAGAAGGTTGAGATTGAACAAAGTATTACTGAAACTTAAAAAATAGGGGATGAGGGGCATGAGACTGGATAGCAAGAGAGGGGCTTTGTCATGAAGGAAATATCTTTAGTTCATGGTAGACACAAAGAAAACAATGATGAGGTCTTGAGCATAGGTGATCAGATTTTAAAAGTTCAATCTGGTGATGGGTTAAATAGGGTGAACTAGAAGTAAGAACACCAGAAAAGATTATTTAATGTGTTCAGGTAAGAAAGGCTGAGAATGTGCCCTGTAGCATTACAAGCATTCATCAGAGAGAAGAGGACAAATCAATAATAGGTAAGTTTAGGAGGCCAAGCTGCCATAATATGACGATTGGTATGTGACGACAAGGGAGAATCTGGGGTTTCTGCCTCATGTAGCTGTACAGATTCAGGAGGAAGAGCACAGCTATATGTGATCCACATCTGGTGCTGTCAGAATCTCAGAAAGTATTCAGGATACTAGGTAGCAGATCAGTCACTTCAGTTTTTATTCAAATGCTTTGAAATATCATAGAAACATCAGGGAAAACTGAATATACACAGGAGCAGTTTATTTTAGATTTACAGGCAGTAAAAATACAAGGCAGTTCTACAATAGAGATTGGTTGTTAAAATAATTGATGGTCTCTATTATATAGGATCTGAGGGTGAATTTATGATTAGGATCATCTACTTACCTAATGATAGGAGCACATTGCATCTTCTGTTAGTGAGATTGTTGTGAATGTTTTCCAGAGTTCCAGATAGCCTTTCTAGGAGAAGAGAGTTTTGAAAATGACTTTTGAGAGAGTGTATGTCAAGGGGGGCTCAAGGAACCATAATTCTGGGGATTGGAAAACATGGTCATTGGTAGGTCTAGAGAGGTGTTTAAAGCAAAGAAATCAATAAAGCTGAGGTAAGAAATAAATGGTAAAGAAGACCTAGAACAGCCTTGAGGGAGAAGGAGTTAGAGTATCAGTAACAAACCTTGGGAACAACATAGAGGGTTATGAATGGTAGAGGAAGAAGAGATGGAAATAATTTGTATTAAATAGATGCCAATAGGGAAATTTGGGATCACTAATAAAGGGATTTACAGGAAGAGGTAAAATGAAGGACTGATTCTGAGCTACTGACTGAGAATTTGACAAGTGCCCATTTTTTCTTTCTGCATACATATTTTCATGCTTTTACTTCCTCTTTTTAAAAATTTATTAATTAGGGAAACTCAAAAAAATCAGTCTTTTTATTAAAAAATGAATCCTTCACTCCTGAGAATTTTAGAAAATATAGTGTCACATTTTTATATTAGTACAAATTAGGATAATATCGTGGTATATTTGCAAGTTAGAAATGAGTATGTTGCATATATTTATTAATATATTAAGTAAGAAAATATAATAAAAATTATGTGCAGATTAATATAAACATGATAAACATTTTTAGACTTTTCAGAGCCTTTCTCTTAGAAGTTCCTCAAAAATCAATGTTTTAAATATGTTAGAAAGTATAATAAAATTCTGAGATACTTATATTAGGTAAAATATTAATGTAGTAGAATGTTTGGTCATTAGAAGCCATAGTTTTGAGGAAGTTGGAGAGGTTAATCTTTTCCTCTGAATGAGACCCTAATGATTACAGCTCTATGGTCTCAGCATGGTGATAATTTGGTGAATTACCAGAGTAAATAATTGAGTTTGTCATATACATTAAAGTTATTTGGAAACAGCAGAACTGAAAAGGTAATGAGAGTTTTGTGACTGCCGTTATTAATTTACAGAATTCTTTACCAAACAGCTATTCTAGGCATAGTACAACATGCAAAGACACACTACACAGTCTAGAAATGTTTCTCTATTCTTTTCAATAGGAGAGATCAATCATAGGAAGCAATTAGAGAAGACTTTTCATTTGTGGTTAAAAAAAAAATCTGAATATACTATTTAACCTAAGAGAACAATTTCTTAAACATTAATTACATATTTAACTACAAGTGATTGTATAACTCCAGATAAGACATTGTCATGCTTGTAGTGACAGAAACATTCAGTTGCCCAGCTAGCAGTGTTTGGATTTAAATAGATCTCTAACCACGTGAATCAGTTATATAAACATTGGCTAAGCAGAGTTGTTTCTAAGTAAAACTTATGAGTGAATTGCTAAGCTTTCTTCCTCCATTTGATTCAATTCTGCTTGACTTTCAATTATATCTGATTTTCTCATATTCTGGGTTATGCTAAAATATTCAGGTATTATTTATGTAGCAAGAAATGTTTGTATTCTTCCATGTTGCAAAGATACATATAAATTTATGTATAAAAGAAAGGACTATTTTGGGTATGTTTACTTAGAAACTTGGAAGTTTGGGATAAGTTGTTTAAATTTGCCAGTTTTAAATTTTTTAGAGATTAAAATTATATGACATGAAAACCTCTGCATTAGGTCTGATGGAAATCAGAAAATGTTATAAGCAAAATCAATAAATATCTTTTACTTTATTTGTAAAGATTTTGCTTAGTTTGATTGTTATATTTATATACATTTTCCTGCTATGTGCTTAATGCAACATCTATATGTAAATCTTAATATTTATTGATATTTTAAATGATTGATATTCCCTAAATTCTTTATTAGACATGCATGTTTATATTTCTTTTATATATTGACATAATCAAATCAATGGCTTTTAAGGGAAACCTCTGTTTAAAAGGTGTTCAAAGTATTTATAACTTCAGTACTTATCTTAAAGTACTAGATGATTTTTAAAATGGCACAAGGCTACCTACATCCAGTTGTTTCACAGGCTCTCCCTAGCTTCTCTTGTAAAATGATGAATTGTTCTTTATTTCCTCTTTATTTGGTTTCTTTATTTCCTCTTTATTTGGATTGGTGGGTTTCCTTGTTTCAGGTGGATTATATTTGTAAAGTGTTCTGGCTTCTTTTGATACAAGAGAGCCTATTTCTTCCAGCATAACCCAAATCATTTGTTAAATATTCATTGTATGTTCATGTTAAATATTCATTCTGGCAAATAATTAGGAAAAATAAGTTGAAACTTCCTGTCTAATTTGGAGTTTGCTTTCACTCCCTCGATTTATCATTCTGTGTTGATATTGGGTGTTTCATCTTTTGAATTCTAGGCACTTTTCCAAGTTCACAGCATGTAGGAGTTAAGTAGTAGAAACTCTTAGAATTTTAAACCCTTGAAGTGTGTTAAAATTTTTTTAAGGCTCGTAGTCGTTATTATAATATCATGCTTTATATTCTTACAATAGAAGAAAATAGTTTTCCAAAGTGAAATTTGCAATTTATACTGATGGTGATTTAAATCTTTCCAAATCACACAATTCAAAATTAAGATAACTATTTTAGATGATGTCGATGAATTATCTTCCAACTATGCAATATAATTTTATATTGATTTCATTCTGTGGAATAAATGAGATATAGGATGTAATACTTCACAGCTTATTTGTATCTTATTTCAAATTCAAAGCAAGGCCTCATTAGCAAAACAGAATTTCCTTCATTTTTATGGAGGTTTAAGTTGCCTCCTTTTGTGTAAATTGTTTGCGTAATTGCACAAGTGACAAGAATATTTTGATCGTTTCAGAAATAATGTCCTATTTCAATCTGTCTATTTCTCTTTCCTCTAGTTAACTTCTTCTTCCACTACCTCTGAGCAGCTTGCCTGTAAACCACCTGCTTTCTCCTTTGTTTCTCCAACTAATCCGAACGCACCACCCGACCCAGTTAACCTCGAGGGAGCCTCTGTCCTAGAGGAGTTCCACACTAGGAGGCTGGATGTCGGTGGGGCCGTGGTGGAAGAATCAGCTACGTATTTTCAAACTACCGCTCACTCTACACCCTTTTCTGCATCGAAGGGCACCTCCTCGACGTTACTGTTTCCCCATTCCACTCAACTATCAGGTTCTAACTTACCCAGTTCAACTGCGGCAGATCCAAAGCCTGGACTGACCTCTGAAGTTCTCAAGAAGACAAGTTTAACCTCGCATGTCCTTAGTCGCGGAGGAAGTCCGAGAACCTCTTCTCCTCCATCGTCCTCCAGTGCTTCTCTGAAGTCGAATTCAGCCTTGTACATACCAGTCCGCATTGTCACGCATTCACTGTCTCCGAGCCCCAAACCATTTACCTCCTCTTTCCACGGCTCTTCTTCCACCATCTGCAGCCAAATGTCATCTAGTGGAAATCTTTCAAAGTCAGGGGTAAAATCCCCAGTGCCTTCCCGGCTTGCCCTTCTCACTGCCATTCTCAAGTCAAACCCTTCCCACCAAAGACCCTTTTCCCCTGCATCCTGTCCCACCTTCTCTCTCAACTCCCCGGCCTCTTCCTCTCTCACACTTGATCAAAAAGCAAAGCAGACCCCACCCACGCCTAAAAAATCTCTCTCAAGTTGTTCCCTGAGAGCCGGGTCTCCAGATCAAGGGGAATGCCAGGTTTCTGAGTTGACCCTGCAATCTTTTCACCTGCCTGTTTTCACCAAGTCTACCCCACTTTCTCAGGCGCCCTCCCTCTCTCCTACAAAACAGGCTAGTAGCAGCCTTGCTTCCATGAATGTAGAGAGAACACCATCACCTACTTTGAAGAACAATACCATGCTTTCCCTGCTACAAACCAGTGCATCCAGTTCTGTGGGTCTTCCTCCTGTTCCACCAAGCTCTTCTCTTTCCTCTTTGAAGAGTAAACAGGATGGTGACCTCAGGGGTCCAGAAAACCCCAGAAACATTCACACTTACCCTTCTACATTAGCCTCCTCTGCATTGTCTTCTCTATCTCCTCCTATTAATCAAAGAGCTACGTTCTCTTCTTCAGAGAAATGTTTCCATCCTTCCCCAGCTCTTTCAAGCCTGATAAACAGATCTAAAAGAGCATCATCCCAACTATCTGGCCAGGAGCTGAGTCCTTCAGCTCTTCCTTCACTCCCTATCTCCAGTACTAGCTCTGCCTCTCTTCCCAACTTGAGGTCCTCCTCTCTCCCTCGTGCCAATCTGCCCACCCTGGTGCCCCAGCTCAGTCCCTCAGCTCTGCATCCACATTGTGGCAGTGGTACCCTGCCTTCAAGACTTGGGAAATCTGAAAGCAGCACCCCCAACCACAGGTCACCTGTTTCAACCCCATCACTTCCCATATCTCTAACAAGAACAGAGGAGCTGATTTCACCTTGTGCATTGTCCATGTCAACAGGCCCAGAAAATAAGAAATCAAAGGTATTTTTTGCATGTTGCATGGTGCATGCTTATTTTGAAACAGGGAAGAATCTTTTTTTCCCCCCAAGGCAGAAATCAATAATTATAGTATTAATTGTGCTTCTACAAGAAGGAAGAAAAAGTGCAAGAGGGTACCAGGACTTGGTATATTTGAATGTGTAAGTGAATTATAATCTGTATAGAATTATGTGTTTCAGTCAAATTATTTGATTTTGAAAATCCTCTTTCTCTTCCTAATGTCTTATATCTATGACTCCAAGAGTATTATTTTTCCTCAGGCATAATATGAGTTATACCATTGGCCCTAATGACAGAATTAAAAGAAAATAGTTGAGATTCAGGACTATGATATGTTTCTGATGATTTATTAACAGGGACCCTAGCATCCATCCAAATATCCTGTACTGATGGAATAGTAGACGGGATTAATATAAAATGGAATATTATCTTAGATCCAGGTCTGTGACATAGTCAAGCCCATTCTCCTAGCAGAAGGCAACTCTACACTAAGGCATGCTGGCTTCCCAACTATTCTCAAGTAATTCAGATTGTGGATCACCCACACCCAGAATTTGATAGCTGTTATATCAATAAAATAAAACAATTAAAGTGCCTGCATAAGAAGGGGTGGTGATTTTCAGCTCAGTACATTGAAATAATGTAGTTTTAGAGCTTTGAAATACCATGGAGAGTATGTTTCACTGTCACTTTACAGATGATGAATGTCATGTTGAAGGGATAAAGTGACCCTCATTATCTTGTAAATGATGTCACAATACAATTCAAGTCAAAAGCATGCATTAAATACCTACTATGTGTGTACCACTACACTAGCTTTCTTTGGAGTGTGTGTGGTTTCTTTTAAAGGGAAGTAAGAGTTTTTTTTTTTTTTGGTCTTAGAACAATTCAATTTTAATCAGTAGAAAAAACATACATAATTTGGAGAGGCTATATACAATTATTAAATCAATAATACAGCTAGAAAACCAATATAAGGCAAAATTAAATGTGTAAGTCAGATTATAAACAATCATCAACTGAGTTCAATATAACAGGAGTAATGTGATGGAACATGGTTAGTAAGGGAAGTTATAAAAAAATGTCAGGCCTGTCGGAAATATTTAGGATTTAACTTAATGAAGAGGAAAGAAGTTGGCATTTCAGAAATGGAAAACAACCTGACCAAATATACAGAAGATGATCCCAGAAGGCTGTGTGTGGAGACATAAGACGATTGGCCTTATAATCTGATAGTAATAATAGCAGCAATATCAAATGCTTTCTGTGAGTCAGGAACTATGCTAGTATATAAAATAGTTGAAAAATTAATTAAAATGGATTACATCAGTTAAGTTTTATAACTATATGAAGTTGATAATACTATTTTCCCTATTTTGTACACCAAGAAACTGAAGTTCAGTGAATAATTGTCCAGGTCATGGGTCTGTTACGGAGCTGACATTTATATAATATTAAGTCTGTTGATTCTTGAAGCCATGTTCTTTTTTACTACGATTTATTGCTACAAAGAAATAACTCATGTTAGCGATTTAGCCTGACTTTATAATTCTCATGAAGAAAATCATTATTAAGAAATTATAACCAGAATTCCCAATTTATATAATTTTGGGTTCATTTACAAAATGTATTAGAGATTAAGTCCTTGCATTTTAAACATTCAAAGCAAATGAGATGGATACAATTTAACTTTTTCTGTGATTCTAAATTGAAAATCCTACTTATTTGAGGTAAATTGACCTGTTTATTATATTTTAAATACATATATATGATTATAAAATATATTTGTAGAGTATTTAAAATGAACTGATAATCTAACCGTTACTGTTTCCTGAGTGCATTAACTATCATTTTTTAAACCATGCTGCCATATACTTATTCTTTTTGTTTTGTGAAAAGTGATTTTACTCTAAAAACTTTTTCAAAGCATTTCTGTGTGTGTTTCATTGCACTTTATGCTTTCTCCTGTTTTGCATATAGTCAGTGAGTTGGAAGAGGGTGAGCCCCAAAGAGCTTTTGATACAATAAAGGCCTATTTATTGAAGACCTATTGTTTTTGGGCTTTCTTCTTGCACCCAACATTGAAAAATTTTCAGCATTTGCTTTTTACTTTGTAAAACATTTCCAAGTAAAGAAAATTCAAAGAAATGCAAGGTAAATTTGATGAACAGGAAAATAAGAAGAATGATTATAATTTAACTACTAGTAAAAATATCAATCGATTTCTTTGAACAGAAAAATAAAGCTTCTTATCATGGGTAAAATTTATAATAACTTCTGCAAAAATAGAATAGAATGGACTATGAGACAGTGCTATTCTTTTTCATGTTTATTTCCTCCTTGCATCTTGCTATATTATCTCTTTAGGTAAAAATCAGAAAGTCGGCCTACTTTTTTTATTGCAATCTATTATTTTCAGAAATAGCATCTTGAGTATAAAAAACGTATTAAAATGGATGTGGAACAGATAAGTCTTACCCCGATCTCTTTTGATGTTTGACTAGTGTTTAAATTGGTAACATTATTTTATAGAATGATAGAAAGAAAGAGACAAAAGCTGTGTGATGTCGAAGAATTTATATGCTTTCATGGGTTGTTTCTTGTCTTGCTCCTTCCAGTGTGGTGCTAAGCTGAGCACAGGGCTCTTTTTGAAATCAAAGAACTTTAGATTTAGGTCAGCTTTACTCATTCCCAGATTCTGAAATAATAGGAATCATAGAATACAGATGGCATCTAATTAAAACATGAATGCTTGAAAGATATTAGTTTGAAGTCTGGGCCCTACTGTCCTTTGATATTAAAATAAAATAGATCGACCATAGTCTGCTGAGCTAAATTCAGATATAAAGTGTGTTTGATATTTCTTTTTCATAGATAAAACCTTAAGGTTCTGAATCTGCTTGCATTTGTGTGATATAATCGCTATGATATGTTAAATTCGGATGTAGTTTAAAATACTATTTCACATTATAATCATTGCTTTAGACAGGATGGGTCTGAATGCTGTTCAACCTGCCTTTTTTTTTTTTTTTTTTTTTTTTTTTTTTTTTTGAGACAGGTCCCACTGTGTTTGTTGCTCAGGCTGTAGTGTAGTGGTGTGGTCTTGGCTCACTGCAACCTCTGCCTCCTGGGTTCAAGTGATTCTCCTGCCTCAGCCTCCCAAGTAGCTGGAATTACAGGTGTGCGCCATTGCATCTGGCTAATTTTTATATTTTTAGTAGAGACAGGGTTGTACCATGTTGGCTAGGCTGGTCTTGAACTTTTGACCACAAGTGATCCACCTGCCTTGGCATCCCAAAGTGCTGAGATTACAGGTGTGAGCCACCATGCCTGGCCTACTGTTTGATCAACATCTATATTGCCTGAGACTGTTTTTTTCCCTTGGAAAAGACTGGATATTACAAAATTCACCCAGAGTTGTGTCTGGGTCCCCAGTCTGTTTTGCCCTCATTTATGAAGTAATTTAGATTTTTATCCTAGTGAATTATTATGGTGCTCCATATGGAAATTGGGATAAGCATTATATCAAAGCCTCATAGAGTCTGCCACTTACTGAAGATAGTCTGAAGATTAGTTCCAATTATAAAGAGTCTCCATTGATGGGCCTGCCCTGGGCTTAAAGCTATTTGGACACATAGCTTATTTAGGGAACAAGATTAGAGCTATTTTATATTTCATAAAACTTTATAACTGGTGTTTTATTCACAAAAGTCTCCTTCCTTTAAGACATCAAAACATTCCCAAATACATCACACTGAAAACTTAGTGGCAGCAGTCTGTATGTGACTTTCTCCATTTCTGCAGAACCACATGTAATTTGGAAAATGAGCAATATGGAATGTGTCTGCATGAGCTAAAATAGTTAATCTGGGTTCAAGCAAATCACTCATTCAATAAATATGCATTGTTTGCCTAAAAGGTGTGCTTTTCAAAGCTGTGAGGATATTGCAACAAATAAAATATGCAATGATGCCTGTTCAAAGACACTTTATATTCTTTGGTGGAAGAGAAACAATCAACCATAACCCCTCCAAATAAGTAAATTATCGTGTGTGTCAGAAGGTCATATGTGTCATGGAGAAATGGATAGCCCTGATTCTCAAGGGAAATAGAGAAGGGATGGTGTCACAAGTTATGTTGGGGTATTGGGATAGGTTTCTTTGAGAAGGTAATATCCAAGGAGGTGATACTCCTTAAGAGAGTATAGCGAGGAAAATGCTCTGAGGCCAGAGAGTGCTTGACAGGTACAAAGAACATATTCTAGGCTAGCAGTGAGGAACAGGTTGTTGAGGTTGTCAGAGGGAGATGTAGGTGGGAGCCGGATCCTGTAGGAGAGTCTTGTGGACCACTCTTTAGTCTTTGATTTTTACTTTAAGTGAGACAGGAAGTCTTTGGAGGGTTTCAAATAGATAAGTGACAGTCTTAACTATCTCACTGCTAAATAAGAATAGACCATGAGCGGGTGAAAGTTTAAGTTGGGAGAACTTAGAAGTCTATTGCTACAATCTAGGTGAGTGACGATGGTGGCTATGGTCAAGTTATAGCAGTGGAGGTGACGATAAGATTTCCATTATGTTTTGTAGGTAGAGTAACAAACATTCACCAAACATCAGAGCCACTATGTGAAATGAAAAAAAAATCAGCTGAAACTAGACTTATGTGCCTTCTTATTTTGTTTTTCTCTTTTTATCTCACTGTCATTTACTCCACTTCCTTCACAAAGTTCTTGGGAATCCTTGACTTCTCAGGCTTCTTTCAGCTATGCTATCTGTCACTCAGCCTCTATACTAAGAAGTTCTGTGTGCCACTCCTGTGCTTCTCTCCAGCTAGCCTCTCTGAATTGATCCTAGTAATGGTTCACAAACTTGTCTTCCTCTCCAACCCCGCAATCCCTGGGGGGATTTGGATTTTTTTTTTTTTTTTTTTTTTTTTTTTTTTTTTTTTTTTTTTTTTGAGGCAGAGTTTCGCTCTTGGCATCCAGG